AACAAAACCATTATACCCTGATTTCCCATTTTCAATGGGTTCAGGGTATAAAAAGTGAAATAGAGGTATGTAAAAAAGAATTGCAGATTATGCCTTTTTGCTTTATTTACAATATTTAATAAGAAAAGTAGAAGAGATAAAAATAAAAACAGTTTTTTTTTTAATGTATATACATACATATATTTTTTTATTTTTTTAGTTATTTTTTTTTTATAATTACAATAAGAAAATATATATATGTATATGTATTTTTTATTTTTTTTTCTAATTTGTTTAAAATTTCATCATAGCATTTTGTAAGAAACCAAATTTCAGAGCTCGTGACGCATCGAACTTTGCGTTAACTTCCACGACCTGACCCGACTCAACAGCAAAGCTTTTTTGCTTTAAAATTTTAATGACCAATAATGAGCGCAGCTGAGACTTAACTGCGTCTATTGAAACATGAAGTTCAGAACTGGTTTACTATACAAATTTTCTTCTTCTTCTTTTTCGCAATGAAGCAGATTAAGTGAGTTCTGTGAGCATTAGCAAAGCAGAACTAAAACTGGTTTTTATTTGCAGTTTTTAGTACAGCTTGGCTGGAAGACAATTGGAATATTATGATTTAAGGTAGAAATAATTGAAATTATGAGTAATAGAAATATATACAGCTTAAATAAAGAAGATTTACAGATGACCAAATCTTTCCCTTACAGCAAGAGCAAACTAAGCCAAGCTAAACAAAAATAGAATTTGGTTTTTGGTTTCGCCAAGGTATTGAGTGGAGCGACATGCTAAGCTGTTTATTTGCCTTGGCTTGTTTTTTATTATTTGTAGTATGTGCGGTAAATAAAACAAATGTTGAACAACATAAACAAACATAAATCAGTAACCGCAACAGCCATGACCGGAATAGATAACTCCCCCACTCCCACTCTCCCGTTCTCCCGTTCTCTAGCTCCCGTTCCAGTTCGGTTCGAGTCGAAAAGGACAATTGCAAAATTAAACAGCAAAAAGGCAAAGAGAATCGTCCTTGCCTAGAGTGGCATAACAAAAACCCAAGCGCCCAATGGGGAAATTTTATGGTACAGCGATTTTAGAATTTTATACTATATGCATTCATCTCTATTTTATTTTTTTTGTATTTTCTGTTTGTTTTTTGTTCTTTGAGCTTGTAGTCGCCTTACCGCGACTGCACGGCTTGCCAGCGCGTCGCAGACTGAGACCAAGAGTCAGAGCCCCAGCCAGCGCCAGTCTGAGACCCAGACCCAGACAGAGATGGAGATAGCGAATGGTAGAGGGACCAAAACTACTCGCTGTGCATACAAAATTTATTTTGTAAACAAAGTAAATGCCATTACAAACAAATTGGACTTTGTGCCATGCTTTTTGTACTTTGTTGCGGGACTCTTGCATTTTTGGCCCAGGCTCGAGCTGCTGCCACCGCTGGGAAATCGCTCAACTGCGCCTCGGGGGCGCCCATGAGTCGACTCTTCACTTCACATCCTTGCTCTGCTCTCTGCTCTCTGCTCTCTGCTCCATCTGCTTGGCTGTGCGTGATGCCTTGCCAGGGATATGTGACCGGCCCTGCGTCCGGCCGACATCTGAGACCTCGATGAGCGATAGATAGTCTGCGGTCAGACAATATTTATTGAGTGCAAAAAACACTCAGCATTCAATGTGCGTGCTGCCCGGAGCTAAAGTCAAATGAGGGCGCCCTTATGACAAGGATTAAATGCCATATGTGAACAGCTTTATTGGAGACTAACTGCAGGCTCATATAGATATCATGCTGGATATTCTATTATGTAGGAAAATATGAAACGCTAAGCTGAAAATTAGATATGCTGGGATACGAAGAGAGAAGTTGTTGACGAAATAGAAATTTATTAAGAGTGCCAGGACAAGAGAAAATATATTGAGAATGTTGCAAAGGGAAGTCTTAAGAGGGAAATGAGGTAGCATATAAAAGGAAGACAGCCGACTAGACTAGACTAGATAGACATTGAAACTCAGTGCCAGTGACTACTATATATATGTAAAGAGTAAGTCGAGCGAACGCCGTAAAAACTTTTCGCTTATCAGCAGCGATGTGAGAAGAGAAATTGAAGTGAATCAAAGGAGAAACTTATGCCATACAAAGGGAAATTGAGGAGACAAATGCGGTAACTTTAATATGAATTATAGTCTAATTGATAAGGAAGCTAGCTGGAGAAGAGATAAG